TGGCTGATCGCACAGGTCACTACCGCACCATCAACTTCATGAAAAGAAGGGCGCCAAAATGACCCAATCATGAAATTGAAGGAAGTCCAACATTTCAGCAGTGACAAACCTTCCTTTTCCTTTTTGTTTCCGCCAGTCGACATAATTCTTCTTTAAGACTCAAGTAGCGTGACCCTCTTGAAAGCCCACGAGTGTCGCTTAGATGACTTCTAGCGCGGTTGTTTGCAAAACATTTAAAAGATTCGCCGGTATCTTCAAGTAGCGAGCCAAACTACAACCGTTAGGTCCGTGCCGATATACCGATGAACCTCGTTGTCTGACAGAGCCAGTAGCGAAAGATGGAAGTCGTTAACTTCTCGGATTTTCTTGCAACAATCTAGCCATAGAAGTCGCTCCACAGACCAACAACGAGCATGGAAAGGCATGTATCAGGTCTCAGCATCAGCATCCTGCAATTGCTTGGGAGGTATTTCCTTGGCAGACGAATGAAAAGCAATGAAAATCGCATTCATTTGTTTGTCGTTCCGCGGGCATCAGTTTAAATCAAATGTTAAAGCTGCACAGCGTTAAGTCTCAGTGATGACGACACATTATTCTGAAGACTCATACCGATTCTCTAATGAAATTGCCACCGAATCATAACAATTCGTTCTGTAAAAGAAGGCATGAATCAACATGAGTTTCTGACAACGCTGGTTACTCCATTTCTGTGATAGATTTTTCTCATTCTATATGTTCAAAACCTCTGTCATAATTTTCTTTCCGCCTATGTGAAACGTGTGCAACCGCTACCTTTAGACGCATTTTCACAAGTATAAATTATGCCATGCTTCATCACATCAGATCGAGAAAATGACATTAAACCTTTATTGTGATTTAACAGCTCCAAAAGTTCCGCCGTTACCGACCCCAAGCCCGGTTGAGAAAAAAGGAGGGTTGAAGACCGTGGCGAAGTCTCTGTAAAATTTCGCCACCTACCCTTCGTGGCATGACGTCATCGCAAATTATACCGGCTCGGCCGTCGCTCGGGTTGCCAAAGGCCGCGCAGGATTTTCGGGGTGACAGAGGCAGGATGCGAAAAGTCGACGATCAGAACCTGCTCATCGCCCTCTGCCAGCCGGGGGGGGGGCGTAGCAGCACAACAACGGATGACGAAAACCGATGGAACGACGACGAAGATACCAGTCAGCAGCGGAGTCGGTAACCGTTCTGAACGGAGGAGGCAGACACCGCGATGCCATTATAGCACGTCAGAAAAGGCTTCACGAGAACATCACCAGTGGGAGCTTAAAGTCGGAAATTGGAACATATCCTCACTCAGAGGAAAAGAACAAGAATTAGTTGATGATGCCATAAAGTACCAACTCGACATTGTTGGACTCTCGTCAACGAAGCGCCCAGGCTCTTGCATCCTGAACCTCTGCGGGTAGCGGTATTCTACTGAGATGTCCATATTATGACTCGCGCTCAGCTCGGTGTTTTTGTTCTTGTAGAACCCCACCTTGCTGTTAGAATCACTGATTGGAAGCTTGTCAGTGGCAGGATGGAAATCTTGTGGCTAGAGCTACAACAGGCTAAAGCGTTGACTTTGTTACAGGTTTATGCGCCCAGTTTAGAGAGAGAATATGAATTCCTTGAGGAATTGCAATGTGCTCTGTCCGAAATGCCGAATACAGAGTCCCTCATATTGATGGGCGATTTTAATGCGCACGTCGGAGTAGA